TCACGTATTTAAGATAGGTATATGCCTTAGTTGTGACGGCAACTTTTTCCTTAAAATCGGCTAACCAAGTGGCTAAGTGCCACTTTATATCAACGCTGAAACACATTTTTTTTATTAAATTAACTTACAATTCAAGTGGAAAGCAAATAGGTGCTCATAAGTTTTAGTAACATTTTATCGAGTTTCAGACCGAAAACGCCCCATTTCTGAGAAGGTTCATAAATAAAAAGTACGATCAAATAGTTTCTAAATAATTCCACAGTGGCAGTTCGTTGCATTATATATTTTTATTGTCTTGCTAAAAAATTGATTGTAAAATTTAGTATTTAAATAAAAAAATTATAAATTTACAGAAAATCTTACACAGCTTTTGAAATAAAATAATTTTTAACAAATATTTATCAAACTTCAGTAAGTGTATATTAAGTTAAAATTTAAATTGACTTACCTTTAGTAGGAAACATTAGCGGATCCAGGATTTAATTTTGGGAGGGCTTCAGCCCGAAAGATTTTTTTTTCATATACATATAACGATAATTAATTTGAAAAAAAAAATAAAGAAATTAATTACGTATATGAAATGGTGTTTAAGTGGTTCTTGAAGTCCTATTAAATATAATTACACGAACAAGAATACTTTAAGAGATAGTTTTTAATATTTTTTTCTGTAAAACATGGTTATATTTTATCACTTGGGGGGGGGGGGGCTTCAGCCCGAAAGCCCCTCCCCCCTGTAGATCCGCCTGTAGTGACAGCACTAGGGAGTGAAGAATTAGCATTTCACATATTTTTTACTATGTCTTTAATAATTACAAATTTCTCCATAAAATGTTTCTAAAAGGGTAGATCATGAGAAAGAATTATTTAACTCTTTTTAGTAGTGATTTGACCTAGAGGTGCCTATAACCCCAAAGTTGATGGAGCATGAATCCCTCCCTTCCACGGGCGGATCTACGGGGGGGGGGGGGGGGCTTTCGGGCTGAAGCCCCCCCCCCAAAATGGAAAAATATAACCATGTTTTATGGAAAAAAAATTTAAAACATACCTCTTAAAGTATTATTGTTCGTGTAATTACATTTAAAAGTACTTAAGGAATCACTTAAACACCATTTCATATAGGGAGTTAGTTTCTTTCTGTTTTTCCAAAGTAATTATCGTTATTTTTATGAAAAAAAAAGGTTTCGGGCTGAAGCCCCCCGCAAAAATAAATCCTGGATCCGCTAGTGCTCCCTTCCATTTTTTTTCTCTTCTATTCTTAAAAAAAGCAAGAGAAAGTAGAATTAGGAAAATCGTAGATTTATTAATATTGCACTTGATATGAGGTTTTCCCCTAGCTCCATAATTTAAAACTGTTCATTTTGAAAATTTGTAACCCCTTCAAATGTGCCCTCCTCAAATATTCAAAATCCTGTGAAAATTTATCCCTCTCAAAAATATTGATGGCGCACTTTACGCAATTTTTACTCATAAACATGACCGAATTTTCGTAATAATTCATACATATTACACCACTCTTATATGAAGAAATTTGTTTTCAACCGGAGAAATACTATTTCCTTTTTTCTCCTATTGCTAATTATCTTTTTTTTTTTCTAGTTTAGCCATTACTACTAATAACGAAAACCTGTTGATTATTTAAGGCAAACTTTATTATAAGTATTTTAGAGAGAGCAAATTTGAAAGTTCGGCATTTAAGTCCTTTACTATTGCAATGAGAATAAGATTTAACTGATATTAAAAACTATTGAAATGGGCGTTGATATATAGAATTTAATCAAAATGGTTAGAGCCGTTTTCGAAGAAATCATGTTTAAAATAGGTTATGTAAAGTGTGACTTCTGGTAAGTCAATATTTTTGAAAAAAAATCTGTAAATTCCAAGGTATATACGTAATTACCTTAAAGACGTAATTTCAGTCTTTTACAAATTTTTGTTTTTCAACTATACTGTTCACATTAACACGATCATTGTATGAGACTTGATTATTAAGAACAGGTGTCTCCAAAGACCAATAGGCAACTCCAATTCGTTCCGTGATAGTTTCTTTGATTATACGATAAAAATGTTCAAAAATATATGATATTTAGTAAATCGCTTAAATATAAAGTAACTACAACTTTTATCACATGTTGTTTCTCTTAGAAGCCTCATTTTTACATCTGAAATGTCATATATCGAACAAGTTTTGTTCTTTTCATCAAAAACCACGGCCCATTGTGGAGGTCACAAAGTATCCCTCCACAACAAAGTGGTCTAAATGTTTGAGGGCCTCTAATTTAGACTCAGGGTATTTCAGAACGTGTATTTCCTTTGAAAATTCAAATTTGAAATTTTCCATGATCACAGTACTTTACCTTAATGATTATTTCATACATAAATAAGTGTACGCAAAAATATTTAATCTTAGCCAAAATATAGAAAAGATACAATTTCAAATAAATACGAAACAATTTACCCAATCTCATCATTACAAGTACCGTTAAATATGTATATTTAAAGCTTATTTATACATCCACACCTGTCTAATACATCATTGACTTGATGGCCTGTCAAAGTAAGTAATATAATAAATAATAGGGGACATATCAGGCATAAGGAAAAAAATAGAGAGAGTTATCACTTCCGAGGCATTATTTTAGACAAAATAAAAGAAATTTATTTTCACAACATTTTCTTTACACAATTCTTCGTGGAATTCTTGGTTTATTTATCACAACCAACTCTTTTAGCTTTTTCACTGCTCAAATTGCTTTTTCAAACAAATTCAAAATAGGTACATCAAATGTAGACTATTCTATTGTACCTAACATAGTTTTTTGGATTTTTATAATATAAAAAATAAATTGTAACTTATTATAGATTTCTTATTGTGAACCTGAACTTTTTAACTATAATAGGTGCACTGCTAAAGTAAAAAAGAAAGAAGAAATAGTTTCCTAAATAATTGCTTATTTCGTTTGGTGAAGAGAAAAACATGTATAATTCCAGCTTTTTGGAAAGATAAAGCTATGAAACTATCAAAATTAGGAACCACATTTCAAAATAATAGCTTTAACAGATTTTTAACTCATTCAAATAAATGGATCTTATAAAACATTGAATTCACTAGCTACCTAAGAAAATAATTTAAATTAATATTACAACTGCAGAAAACTTAAACCTTAAAGATGTGATAATTATATATGTCTTTTAATATTAGAAATCATTGAAGAAAAAAGAATAACTGATATTGTTAATAATACTTCACTGTCATGAATGAATGAGTAGTGAAAATGGAAAAAATTGAATAATAAAAACAACTCTACAAAACCTCTGGAATGGAAATTGTTGGAAGTTTATCTTGAGAACAGAAAGTTGGCATAAACAACTGGCATTGATGAATGTAGCTCCATATATTCTACTTCATATTGAAAAGTAAAATAAATCTCCAAGATTCATTCTGTAGGTATCTCAGGTAAACTATTACATGCACAAATTTCTATAGAACTATATTTCTATGCAAGCAAATATTAGATATTCAGTACAGTAAGTGACCATATAAGAATCCAACCAATATTACTAACTTTTATGTATCCAATCAACAAAACAAATAAGCTCTTTTACAAATACATGTACTACAGAGAGTTCATAAGGTAATTTTGATAGTTCAACACTGAAATATACCATTATTACTTTTATTAATTTAAGTAATAATCTTGACATAAAGTATTACTTGAAATTAAGACAAGGGATCAAGTTCACCTATTACACAATTTCATTTCAAAAATCTGGTTATAAGCATAAGGCGTTTAGCATGCTATGCTGTCAAAGTTAATGTTACAATAGAACACTTCACGCCAATGACCGTAAAGCATAAACAATGAATATGTGACGTGAATTTTAAAAAGAAGTGTCTTGGGATTCCTAAATATCTGAGATGAGTAGCCAAGGTCCTTTGTTTTAAGTTAATATCCATTATATTTATTATTTAAAAATAACAAGGTACAATGAAAAATTGTATTCAACAAATTATTAATCATTATGATAGAAGGAAATTTTATAATACATTTGAACCAATTCAATCCTATTATATTTTTAATGTACAAGCGATTAGCCAAATGTGTAGCTTTAATATTAGAATGGTTCTAAAATTAGGGTTTGCATTTTGCAACGGTAACATTTGAAAAAGAAAACAATTATAGGTTAATGAGAATAGTTAAAAATAAAACTTTTGAAAAAAATTAGTTAGAAAATAAATATTCTCATATAAAAAGAATTTCACATGAGGAACCCTTTGTCTAATTAGATAATTAATTAACAAAAAATAAAATTTTTGTCTAATCTAAAACTTAATGATTAGTCTATTTCTTAAAATAATTGATAGGAAGGATATATGCTTTCAGAAAATTATGATAAACATAATTAATTTTAGAAGTAATAAATAATTATGAATGAAAAAGATGAGCATATTTTCTCAAAGAAAGAAATTCCAATGTTTAGATATCTTATTATAGTCCAAATATTTAAAGATTGTAGGAATTCAAATCTTTGAATCTTATCACTAATTAACAAAATAATTTACTGCCACAGGTTTAATCAATTAAAAATTAAAGGGAAGGGGATATGGAGCACATCACACTTCAAACATAAGATTTAATAATTCATTGAAATTCGAAAGAACAAGTTGCTTCAAATGTACCCTGTTCATAGAAAAAAAATTCGAAAAGAATAGTGAACAAATACTAAAGCAACCTATTATAAATTCCTCTAAACAGACTTCAGACAATTACTATGGAATATTGTGTTATCTATTAAAATCTTTATATTACAAAGTAAATTTTACAACAATAGATTTTAGTACTAATTTTGTAATGAAGATATAAATAAATGTTTAAAACCAGTTTTTCAAAATCGACCTTTAGTAGGTCATTCCAAAATATTAAATTTAGTATCAAATTCATTCACAGGCACAAATTAAAAAAGTTGTCCAATATAATACAGTAATCCAATAGATTAATTACCTGAAAAGGAATAAGCCGTAGACAATTCGCCATGGCTGAACCTTACGATAAGAAGACCACTGAATAACTAGATACGGCTCAATGAAAAAAAATTTTAAGACATTATTCCACTAGTGCCATCTGGCTTCCAAGTTTTAAAGAGGAGTAGGTTACAATGAAACATATCATAACCTGTTTCGAGTTCGTTTACAAACTTACTTCAAATGTGTCATTTCGTGTAAAGAATACATTTCATTTTAATCCATTTTATTTAATGATTGATGTTTTCCTTATTTTCATAATTTAGTTTTGCCCATAAATTAATAAAAATAAATACAACAGTTATAAACATCTAAATGTTCATACCTAATTAGTTCTATATTTTTCTGATAAGTTTTTAATTGAAAACAATAATTGATATTTAACATCGAAATTATATTATTTTAAAAATAATATTTAAATGTCATAAATATTGTATCTGTCCAAAAAAATATGTATTTCGTAAAATATGAGAATCCTGCATTTTTGTCTTATTGTAAATTTACCAGTAATAGACCCTTAAAAACAGAAATTTCCAGTATTAATGTGAACCACAACTTAAGTATTGGTATTTGAAAATGGGTTTAATTGACAGCAAATTTAGTCTTTTACCAATTTCGTTTTTTTCCATACAGTCAATTAGTTAATTAGTCATGAAAAACTTTAGAAACTCTGACAGCGTGTTTTGCACCAGTAGTAGACACCCAGTTTTTAGGGGCTATAGTTTTTTTTTTTATATATAATTATTAAAAAGAAACCAAAATAAATTCTCTAGAATTTTAAACAAGGAAATGGCAAACTACAGATGAATGAATCGAAATTTCAAACCTATTTCTTAAAGAAGAGTGATAAAGAAACATCTCTGAAACAAAGATCCAGCCTTGCTCAATGAAAAAAATCAGCTAATTGGCTATTTTGATATGATACTACTTGAGGTTCAGGCATTAAGCGTTTTTGCTTCAAATCTACTCCTATTTCAACTCACTTTTTATCATATAAAGCTTATTCCTTGAAAACTAGCTATTACTGGTACAAGCTAGGACATTTATCATATAAAAATTTTTATGATTATTTTTATTTTATTATACATACAAATGTTATACAGGCTAAAAAACAACACATAATACCAACAAAACAATATCTGAATCTTCCCTACCTACAAAGTTAAGTCAAACTAACTATCCAAACAAAATAAAGCTTAAAAAAAATAAAATCCACTATTGTGTAATGAAAATAAAACAAAAAATAAAATTGTGCTTAGGTATAAAAGAAAGATTTTTTTTTTAATGTGTGCTTAATATTCGTTACATTCCATCAGTTTGCTTTACTAAATTTACTTTTTATTTTTATTTTATTTAATGGATGACATATTTAGACACCTTCATGGCATGCAATAGTTTTGAAAATAAATTATAATATAACATTCTTGGAAAAATCTTTTAAAATTAACTGATATTTAATACGCACTTACAGCTGAAATTTAAAGACAATCTATTCATGAACTGAAGTGGGTACATCCTTAAGTGTATAAGACCTTCAAACAAAATTGAAATTACAATTTTTATTTTGACAAATTACAAATCTGTTTTTTTTATTATGACGGTAAGATTTTATACCAAATCCTCTTTTAAATGACAGGTCTATGTTTTTATTTATATATAACCCAACGGATATCCCAGTGGATTGGTAGTAAAGTGGCAATTCAACTGCTGATCCCAAAATAAATGGGGTCCAGATAACCTCATACAAAGGAGGAAAATCTACACCAATGACTCTTATGACAATAAGATATCGAAGAAAGGCACTAAGAGTATGAAGCATAAGTCTAGACCAAAGAAAGAATTAAGAAAATTTATGAAGGTGCTAAACCCAAAAGAATGTTGGTACAAGAGCTATTACATTCTCTTTCTCTGTATCTCAGAGCAAAATTGCAGTGATTTACATGGGTCATTGCAAATTTAATTGCCTTATGCTCAGACAGAGTTAATATTTATAAGTCCCCTCGTTGCAGATTTTGTTACAAAGAGAATGAAGAATCTATCGTATTATCTGTATGGTATGTAGGTTTGAGGAGTTCGGGACAGACAGTCTGGTAGACATCATGGAATAAGAGCTCGTCAATTCAACAAATCTTAAATTTGCTATTGATGCAAAGATCATGTTTCAGTAATAACTACAAAGTCAAAGCAAACTACAGGCCTAGTCAGGGCGCAGTGCTATATGCAATGAAATAAAGAAAATAACAAAAAAAAATAAATAAACATTCCTTTTAAAATATTAAATTTTGAAACTAATACTAAAAAATTTTGATGATGCCAGTTAAACCTTTTGCATTTCCACACTTTTTTTTTTTTTTTAAATATCAAATTTACTTTGGGATAAAGGTATAGAATAAAAGACAGGCATCGCCAACTTCGGAATGTGAGTGATGGTACTTAAAAACATTATAACAGCTATGCAGAAAAATGTAAAGTAATCTAAACCAATTTAATTGGAAATCTAAACAGGATTAAAAAAACAAAACTATAACATGGAAATGATATTACATGTTTTTCTTAGAAAGCATCATGTTACCAAAAAAGAAAGAAGTAGATGAAAAAGGGTCAAAAAGAAAAGTATGCTTAAAAATTTTCTGTAAATAATCTATAAGTGTCTAATTCAATACAAACAGTAAACAAAGAAATATATTAATACAAATTTATAAATAATTACAGATGATTTAGTTGTTTTTTTTCACCATTAATTTTGTTCCCAATAAAAGGGTCTTCTTTTTAACCAGTACCATTACAACCCATGGTGTGAAATGTCTTGGGTTCAATACTACCTGAGAAAGTACTGTCACAAGGCCAACAGTTGTACAGGGAGGTGATTGGGCAAAGACCATGCGCTATCACCAGGTTGTCCCCCTTAATTAATTATTTATTAAAAAGTACCCACTTTATAGAGGCTGGATTTGCCCCAGAGTTGATCCATGGCTGATGAAAAATTACTAGTCATCAGCCAGACTTGAACCTGGAACCTTGAGCTCTGGAAGTCAATGCTCACCCACTGAGCTACTCTTCTTTTTCTCTTGCTCCCCTATTCTTTTTAACAATCATTAAAAAAAAGATATGAAATATTCATTCAACTGTCAATGCCAAGTAAATATTTAGAATTACAATAATAAATTACTTATCTTTTAAGACATCGAAAACTTAAGATAAAAAAGTTCAGCAGTACATTTATTATATATATCACAAATGTTTTATTTCATAAGTGTTGTAAAGAATAAGATCGGAATCATTTATATATATAGTTATCTAATTTATGATTGAATAATCTCCATCCAGTTATGCTTCAAGTAGTTTTGAAATCTAAATAATGTTAACACTTTAGTCATGTTTTGTACTACAGCAAATGGAACAGGACTTAATCAAATTTATCGTTATATTTAAGATCTTATCAACAATCAATCTAATTTTTTTGTTTAGTGAATATTTGTATTTCATACAACTATTTATAAGAATGGAAAAGTATATAGCTATTTGACCGTGACCCACACTTCACCCAAAGTTTAAGAAAAACACATTTTTACGTGTCCCGACCACAATGTGTTTAATAATGCTACTGGACAGCAACCAAAGTTTTTAATATAAACACTTAAAAGATGCTGGGACGGAATTATCAGTATTACAATTGATCAATGAAATTGATTTTTTTTAAATAATCAAGTATGGTTCTTATATTATAAGAGTAATATTGTCCCAATACTAAATGGTTATTAATCCAACTTCCTATGTTCCTACAGCTAAGCATGCCCTAAAAGAATCATAATATGCAAATAAAATTATATCAATAATGGTAACAAACTTAATAAATAAATATTTGGTAATTATAATACCATAAAAACAAAATTACTTGAGATAACTATTTCTATAAAATTTCTTTTTTTAAGTTTTTAGTTTTTAATGTACTAGCATTAATTTTCAAACACACCAAAGGGTGAATATATTAGCTATAAGCTATATATATGAATATATATATGAATATATTAGCTATGAGCTAATTCTTAGTGGTTTTATCGAGTAATTAAATGTAGGTCCGTGGGAAGGAAACTGTTGAATTATACGAATAAAGGTAAACATAAATATACCTTAGAAATATTTTTTTTTTTAATTTGAAGTGTTTTAAAACAAATACATTATTATTGCTTTTTAAAAACACATTTAGACTGATTTTTATCAAAATTTAATTTTTATTGTTCGATTTCATTTTTTTTTCTGAGGTAATCCCTAATTCAATATAAATGTTTTAATAAGTTTAGGAATCCTCAAATTGTCGTTATTTTAATTGATAATTTAGGGTGATAATTAAGTATAAGCAACAATCAACGTATTTTTATAAAGAACTTAAAGATGAGAGAACTATAGGATATATCTTTTTGAGGTACGATTCACTCATAACGATGAGGAAGTAATCAAATAAAGTAACAATGGAATAATATTTTTATTCAATTTTCACTTATTAACACAATAAGAAAAGCGTAATTGACAAATCTTAAATTTCACCATATTGCATTTAGTAAACTTGAAAAAAACTTAAAATTTAATGCTCATGGTGTTCGGAATGCAATAAACAATAACATCGTAACAAACAATAATATATTGTGCATTAATATAAATAAATAATTGCATTAACGAATACACATTTCACAAATTGTAATAAATAATGCAAAATTGAAAGAATTTGTAAAAATACCAAACAAAAATTTCAATTTTTAATTATCAATAAATATTTATAAATAAGCTTCAAAATTTGTGATTTGAACTATTTTCAAGAGAGGATAGATATAGATCGTATATATATTATATATTAATAAATAAATATACACTTTTAAAAAGCAAATAACAAACTAGCAACAATACATTCACAACTATTTACATACAGGTTGGTTGTTTTGCAGAAAGCTGCAAATTATATCTTTGGAACGTCTCAAGTCAAGGATCACTTCTATTTTTAATAGTTTTAACAATGTTTAAGTAGTTTACCAGTTTCTTGCTTCATATTTGAGGTCATTTTAAACAGCATCTTACAGTATAGAATGAAGTTAAATTCAAATTTATAAATAACTTACTAAACTTTATTAATTTGTCACAAATTTGAAGTGGTGCCATTTTCTCTTTATAAATTGTTTTTATAGTACAGAATATATTTACAATATACAATTACATAACTAACACAGACAATTCATACAGATAATTTTGTAGCTTATTTGGAATTTTTAATAACTTTAGCACCACAATAGTAACATATTAGAAAATGAGCTTTAGGAATCAATGACCTAAACTTATCAAGTTTTAACTATTACCATACAATTTTCACAGTAATAATTATAGATCTATCTATCACCGTGATCCTTTCACACACCTAGCACCTAATAATAGTAGTAGTAATAGTAATATTAAGGCCAGATTACTATTGAAATAATTAACAAAAACAGCCTATGATTAGAATATATAAGTACAAGATTGGTAGTAAAGTATCATTCAGAATTTAAATGAGATCTAATAATAGTATGCAATGACGGTAATACTTATTCGTTTAAATATTAAAGTATGTCTAAATGTCGAGGTAGAACTATTCAAATGACTGAAGTGAAAGAGGCCTTGACTAAATAGCGCAGACGGCTCACTTTCTATGATACTTTATTTACAAATAAAAATCTCATTTAACTAAGCTATTTGTACAATACATTTTAAAGCTATTCTTCAAAACAGTCAAGTGAAAACTCCACTGTAATTTGGTACTATTTGTACATGGTTTAATATAAATATATAAGTATGTGCATATATATAAATTATGGTCTGATATATTGCATATATATCACACTAGCGAGCTGCTACACCTCTTTTTAGTTTATATCCTGAGTCCAGAGAGTTCCACAAAGGTTTATACTAACTAGCCTTTGCTTCTTGTTGCTGTTGTGAAAGTACTTGTTTGAAATATACGAGTGTTTTCCTCAGTGTCAAGCAGAAGCCTTTTGATGCAGGTATGAGTGGAAATTCTGGCAGAGGGACCCCTTGAAAAAAAAAAAAGATGCATATAAATATATTAACAAAATGTAAATAAATAGCCATGATTCAAATCAAATTATCCCTTTAAAACAAAGAGTAAGGTTGAGGTCATAATGGTCAAGTGTGTTGGGAGCGTTGTCTGTTCTGGCATGCTTGTGCCTAGCAACGCCACTTCGAATCTGACCTGGGGGTGTGGGTTGACTTTTATTTGGTGGGGGACCCATGGAATGGAACTCGACCTTCCTACCTAGTCTGGTTAGAATAGGTTTGGTTGTACTTCTAGAAATCCCCTCTTCCTTCCTCCGTATGCCAGAAATGGTGGGGCTAGGGAGTAATAATACAATAAAAAAGAAGAAAAAAAAGAGATGGACTGCCTAAAAGCAGGAATTTTCCATAATGGTTTAAAAATAAAATTAGGTAACAAGAACTAACATTAAAATGAATGGTAATTAGAATATAGATAGATAGATGATAAATCATGCAATACAGAACATTCTTTGTAATAACTTTAACTTAGCTGAATAAAATGAGAGATAGGCAACAGAATTAAGATTAATATATAACTATAACCTTAATTACAAGATTTATTTAAAATCTTGATATATACATTTAATTAACAATAACAGGTACAATAGATGTAGTAAAATTAATAACATACGATTTAACAAACAAAGAAAACCATAATTTTAAAAATTTAAGAAGGAAGGAAAAACTAATAAAATCAGGGCTCTTTATTAACTCTTAAAAAAAATCTTATTTAATGAGAATTAACATCAATAAATAAATCAATAAATTCATTACAAACCTTCATTATGAAGCTGCTTATATGTAGTAGGAGTTGTTGGAGACAGCGGATGATTACTGTTGTAGTTCTCGGATATATCCAACCAAGATTCTAACCTCTCGCACAACCTGAAATAAATTATTACCATACTTTTAAAATATCTATAAAAGATATTATATATAAAAAGAAAGCAAATATTTAAACAATGCGCTATAATCAATATATTGTAAAATTAACATACTTCTAACAACCAATATTCAAAATCTAATTAAGTGTATATAGCAGGTATTGGAGCAAATTTCTGTAATCTAAATAATAAAATATTAATTAATTATAGTGCTGGATTAATAAATATTGCACTAAACATTTGGAGGTTACGTGCAATCTGCAAAGCCGCAGCTCCTCACCTATGCTCTAAGCCTTTTTAATATTAATTAAAAATTAAAATATTATTAATGAATATTAATTTCATATAAAAAATTATTTTGTTCCTTTAGGCAGGAATGGTGTGCAAAGATAGTAACAACATAGTTAGTACAGATTAGCTTTTGAAAGTATTGTACAAACATAAAAAAAAAAAAAAAATAATGATGTATTTTAAGAAAAGTTTAACAACAAAATTAAATATTTCAAATCGGGGAAAAAAAAAAAAAAAAAAACCAAGCTCCAATTACCTTCCAATACTTTTATTTTTTGATAGTAATAGTACCTATATAATATAAATCAACTCAAATTAGGAAATCATTGATATTAAATTACTGTATTTTTAGTTTTTTTTTGTCATAATAGAGCATTAAAAATAAAGTAAAATGGACAATAACTTTATTTGTAATCATCTTGTTTCTTTTAACTAACTTGTTAGCATGTTGTGCAAAGTGCTGGGCTATTTCTTCTTTGAAGACTGGAGGAGGATTGATAATGAGCTTAGACATAGATTGGACTAACTTAAGAACAGCCATCTCATTATACATCCTAGAATTTTCTTTTCCCTGTTGGCTACCTTTTTGTTTTTCATATCCAGCTTCATTAAAATAAGGTTCATTCACTAATATCAGACCTGTAAGAAAAACATAATCAACATCCTGAAATAAAAGAAACAAAAAAGACATTTTTTTGTAGGTTTGTGCTGACAATTTATAGTGAATATATAAAAGCAAAACATCAATTTGAATTAAATAGCTGTGGCAGAATAGTCCATCGTATAATATAATGACTATTAAAATAAATTCTATACATAAAAATTCATTAATTAGTTAACTTCCTGAGGAATGGTTTTTCAAATAAACAAAACAAAAATTATTGCCGTGTTTAAAAAAAAGCATGTTTGTTTAAAGATCATTTCTCGGAGATATAATGGAGAGCTCTATCAGGCCTCAAATTGAAGCTGATAGGATTTACTATAAAATTATTTATAGTAATTATCTTTGTAGGAGTAACAGTTTCCAAAAATCTAATAACAGATGAAAAGATACATGAACTTTGCATTTGTTTGTCAGCTGATTCAATACTCCCAACTAATTTCAGCATACAACATTTTTAAGCATGTTAACGTCTTATGTTGACTTGAACTGATCTTCAAATAATGCAATTTGGTATTTGGCCTCTCTTTCAATGAGCGGCATGCCATTTTGAAACGCCCCTGCTTTGAGTTGGCAGACTATAGAAACTAGTAGGTATATAATAAATATAAATGTGTTATGTACACAAATTCATTTAATAAAACAAAAAAAAAAAAAAAAGAATAATACTATAGTAGTCAGGACAGATGGACCAAGATCACTTTACTCACACTATTTGCAGAATGCCAAAATTAGTAGTGTATTCAAAAGCATATGGAGACAAAAGATCTCATAACCATCCCATTAATAATAGATAAGTGCGTGAACTGACTTTTCCTTAACCCTTAGGTTACATTACACATCACATTTTTCGGATTACTAATCACAATAATTTTAAATAACAATAATTATAAAGCTAGGAATTCAATTAAAATAGTAATGATTAAATAGAGGAAAAAAATTATAAGTAAAAACAGAATTTATAAATGTCACATTTTTGCTATTTTGAATCAAGTATAAAATTGACATAGACATCAATTTTTAACATGTTTTATTATTGCATTTGTATTTGTCTATTTCAATTTCCATAAACATGAATACGAAGATAGGTATTATCAGTGTTCAGGTTACAAACATTGGTAGATAGCAGTCCGTCCCGACCGCATAAGACACAAGTACCGCAGATTAAATAAAATTCAAGACCACCCTGTCTTTTCACCAAGATAGCACCCAATTTCTGTCCAATTGTTTGTGTTATTGTTGAGCCTTGCATTGGTAGACTGGTGTTGTATAAAGAACACATCAAAATCTAATCATAAGCTTCTCTACGGTTTTATGAAATTAGCACGACTTTTAAGGAGCCCAGATTGTATTAAAATCGAGTGTGCCGATGACCATATTTAACACGCATTTCTTAAATAGGTTTCCTCATGAATACTCTGACTATCATAAATATATAACTAATCGGTGTCCAGATGTATGAGATTTCTTTAACTTGATTGTCTTGAGCTGTTTCAGGCATATGACCTCTAGCAGTTCAATACACTTTGACTTCAGGCCAATGGTCATCAGATAGAGGACTGTTATAGATCTTTGTTGACATATTTGACATGTTGCTGATTCGACAATTCCAATAAAATGGAGGTAAGCTCTGGCGAGACATGTTCATTCTTAATTTTAAACTGTGCAGTTGCCTCATTTCTTTGGAGATATACTAGGAGGAACTTGTCCATTACTTATCATCAAATAATGAAACCCATTGCTTTACTCCTCTAACTCAAAAACCCATTGCTATTCGATCTCTATCATGATTAATGAATCATTTTTGTCATCAAGAAAGGTATTTATTGGACTGATCGTTTCTGGCACTTTCTTCTGTTAATTGATGAGCTTTTAAATATCTTGATAACCAACAATGTGCTGCTATCGAATAAAGATTAATAACAGATTTTTTAAATATATTTTTATGTATTATTATAATATTACATATTTCATTCAGGCCTGTTATGGTCATCAAATTTACTGATATGCCTTTGAGGCAGTTTTGATCAACAACTTATTTATTATTATTACTGATGAATTACAATTTCAATTATTGAATAGAAGTTGGTTGGAATATGTATTAAAAAATAAAAAGTAAAAATAAATAAATATTGTTGTTTTACTTTTTATTTTTGACTGAACAACTCAACCAACTTCTCTTCAATTTTCACTACAGTCAACCATCACCCACAATTATAATTTAAATTATTCTTTTAACATACAATCCTTACTGAAGGTCTTGTATACACAACAAATGCAAACATAACTGACACTTGACAAAAGAATATAATCTAATCACTGAAAAGAGCCTCCTTCATAAATAATTCTACAAAACACTATAATCATTAAATGATTCACAAACTAACTGAGCAGAACAGCTGATTGCCAGTCTGAAGATCTTCTGAGTAAGGCAAGACTATTCCCTTGAATCTCATTGGTTGAAGAGTGGCGCTCATATACTTACAGATATACTGAGAATGACCTTGAACTCAGTGATATCTGGCTCGTTTAATTAATTTTTCCAATTATAAAACTTTTGAAATATAAAACATTGAATTTTACAAATTATTATAATTACTAAAAAGTAAAAGCTACACCTGCAAAATCACAACATTACCTAACTAATTTATTTAAATTTGATTATTTTAATAATTTAACTCTTGTGTTAAATAGTATTTAAATGTACAGACCTACTTATTTAGTCTATTTAGTTTAGTCATTTGTGCTGGAAATGTAACCTAACCTAAACTGTCATAAGATAGCTGAGCCTAGGCCATCTTCAGCATTCCAAGAACAGTGTGATCAAGTGTTCTTGGCGCACTCATCCAGATATGATACTAGTGTACTATTACCAAAGAGATGTAAAAGAAAAAATAATACCTTGAATAGAAACAATGATTTGCAAGAGATTTGATGTAGATGTCCAAACTTCAGTTCCTTTACCACTCCATGTTCCAAGAAGACTAATACATACTTTTCCATCTTCATATAAATTAGGATTCAATCGATCAGAACAATAAGATATATAATGGCAGTGAGGAGGAGCTTTGGGATAATCAGCTGACAGTTGAAAATCAAAGAAGAATAAACCATCTTCATAGGGAGTTTTCTCTGGGCCACGTATCATAACAGAAAACAAATCCTGGAAGAGAAACAAAAATAATTATAATAATTTTATTGAATTATGGATTATAACAATATGAACACTAAAACAAAGTATTTTAATCTATGTAAAAACTTTCACTATTTGTCATTATTTCAAATATATATTATCAGAGTATTGATTAGATATATTTTCTTGATAAAATATTTTGAAGTAAAAATTGATACAGATATTATTTATAGATGAAAATAAAAAAAAAAATTATAGAAATTAATGGCAGGTATTTCATTGCTGATTGTCCCAGGTAAAATATACTCACGCATCTTAGAAAGAAGATTGAGGAACGAGGTAGAACACCAACTGGACGAGGAGCTTCCGACAAGCAGGAATACTCAAGATCACATATCTGCGCTATGCCAAATATGTGAGTAATTCATTGATTACGGATAAAGGTTTACCTGACCCTGATGTTATTAAGGAATGTAAGAGGAAAACCAAGGAGACACCACTTGGATATTGGAAATTGCAACGAGTCTGTTTATTGTTTGCATTTGCTGATGGCATTATGCTAATAGCTGACAATAAAGAAAAGTTAAAGGCAAATTTAGATGTCTGGACAGAAGAGTTAACAAATAGAAATATGGTTATTAGCACTTCCAAGACCAAGTGTATAATGGTGTCCAGAAACAAGAAGAATTTTGGGATTTGCATTCATGAGGAGATGATACAGCAGGTTTCTAAGTTCAAGTATTTGGGTGTGACGATCAGTGAGAGCGGGAAGAGCAGAGACAAAATTAATATTAGAGTCGCCACTTCAGGAAGGATGTTCTCTGCCATCAATAGGAAGTTCAAAAGGAAATGTAAAGACACACACATATTGTATAGAATCATCAATTTTAATTTTCCTAAATCCTTATTAGTCTTTCAAGAAACCCCTTTCAAAATTTCACAATGAGCCAGACCCTATCTATCATTTTGTAGAATGCTAATGGCCTCTGAGACGATAACTTGGCATATTACTCCATGAAATCCATAAATCATTATGGATATCCACTAAAAAGCAAATAAAATTAAAAACCTTTAATGATCCACTAAATCATAGACCTTGTTAAGATTCTACAAAGAAAAATCACAGATATTTGATGAACACCTTTTCAAAACTTCAAATTCTCCTTCTGATATCCTTATTCAAAATCCTCTTGTACACATGAACAGTTATTAGTAACAAACTTAAATAAGGGAGAACTTTTTTTACATCAATTTCGAAATACACAGTTTTTGAATAATATGTTCTGGAACACAAGAAGCACTGCTAAAGTTTCATAAAAAAAAAAAAAAAAAATCAACATGTAACAGTTTGGTCTTGACAACTTTCATGACTAAAGTTATTATATTTAATAAATTGTTCAAGAAACTTAATTGTATAAAATAGCCTCAAGAACATACATATCAATTCACCACAATTAGAGATAAAAAGTAATAATAATGCTAAGCAATTACCATTCTATCTTCAAATGCTGCAACCCATATTCCTGCAGGAAGAGATGTTCTCAACAGTTTAATTTCTTCTCTGACCCGTTTATAAAATAGCCTTGTGTCAGTCGGTTGAAACATGGTCAACTTGTACTTATGTGAATTGGGTGCAGTATCAAGAATTGTGAATGCTGTACAACAAAAGAATTTAAAGGTATAGAATAACATACCAGTTTATGAATATTATTATGAGAAGGAAAGAGAACATTTCTTTACTCTAACCCATATTGATCATTTGTAAGAGAAGAATCTTATGAATAATATAACTATAAAATGCAAAATTTGTTAAAATAAAAATAAAATGAATTGGATCCAATTACAACTAAAACAGAAAATACTTTTTGTTTAAATTTTAAAATTAAGATTTTAATAATACAAAACCATATTTTTAAATATAAAACATTCAGTTTACTATAGAAGTTCCTGAAGTGTATAGGTCAAGACATACTAATAACGGCACAATTCTGTCCTGTCATGAAAATCCAGTCACTATGTTGCATCAAGCGTAGGTGTTACATGATGAAACAATGGCGCATGTCTGGATGCACATTTAAAAATAATAATAATGTAGCCTCTATCGTTCTATTTTATTTTCATTTATGAAATTATAATTTATTGATTTTAACACACTAAACTTCAAAAATTCCTACTTACTATACCATATTTAAATTTATATTTTTATATTAATAGTATGTACATAAACATAATTAATAATCTTACTGCCACATTCAGGTTCTTTGGGTATAGAATCTGCAATGACACCACCATTTATTTCAGTCATACTGTTGGTGGGAGTAGGTAAATTCACTTCACTAGATGTTTTTATAATTTCTGAAACATCTGAAAACATATTTATATAATAGAAATACAATTTCAATAAGCCATACAAAAAAATATTAATACAGATAAAAACATTGGTTTCTAAATAGCCTTACCCTTTTCTTTTTTATCACTTCCAGAGTTACTGGGAGATACATTGTTAGCTTCACTCATGGCTCCAGAATTTCCACCAAATCTATAATTAATAAACTGTAATCAATCTAATGAAATAGAATTAGAAATATTCCTTCACTAATAAAATCACTCGATGGGGTTATTAAATACTGAAATACTAATTAATATTTATAAGGATACAAACTTTTTCCATTTTAAAAATAATTAACTTCAAGCGTTTAAAGTTAACAAAAAAAAAAAAGATATTTTCACAACTTAGTTACTCTAAAGGAATCAATACTAGGAATAAGCTACTTTGGCTAATATCAGCGTTTTGCTATTATAGCTAAGTTATAATATACATACAGGATTTGAACAACATTATAAGTTGCAACATAATTAACAATCATCTACTCAAATAAAAAAAACTAAAAATTGCTTAATTGAAAAAAAATTTTTTTTTCTTTTTTAAATAAAATATTTAAGAAAACGAACACAAGTCTTTTAATTATTATCTGATGTATTATATTATAACACAATAAAAAATATTATTATTTATGTTCTGAAAGGTTATCAAGAGAAGAGTCTAGAATATCATCAAATCCTTAGATGTTTAATAAAGAATCTGCAAGTAAAATAAAAAAACAATAATTTACTATTACTTTATTAATTTTTTTTTTAACAATTCATATATTTTTGTGTACCATTAACTCATTTAACTTATGCAATTTTTTTTGTATAACAGATTTTATTAAGTTATTGTTATTAATTTGTAACAACATTAAGTGATTCAGGCAAATCTTTGTTGACTGATTTTGTATAGGATTGAGTTTTTACTTGTGAGTGAATTTCCACAAATTCTAATGTAAATTTACTTGAAGGAAGAGCATAAATATAAATGGAATAAGAATAAGAGCATAAATAATATTCCTAATAAAAACCCCCAATCGGCTGACAGATGATGAGGATTTAGAATTATTAATAATCCATTATATAATAAATTATGATTTACAAGTATGAATTAAAAAAAAAATAATAAAATAATAAACATGCTTAAAATAGTTATATTCATTAAAAATAAATTAGATCAGTATACTGCCTTCAAGAATGAAAGTAAAATAACTAAGTAGTTGATACTAATTAACATAAAAAACACAAACATTATCCTTAATTCAGATATAAATATCTTACCTCCGGATAACTTCAGCATGAGCCTTAACTAATTGGGCTAAAAGAAGTGAACAAAGCTTTACACAAACATGTGCATTGCACAGACCTTCGTTTGCACCACCAGTAGCAGCCTTGGTTACCCTCGCTTCAAGAGAAGCTAAGCTTCCAGACAAAAATTCAGCAGAAGTGTCTTTTTTTGATTTTTCCTCAATGCTATTTTCAAGATCTTTGGGTGGACTATTGCTTAAAACCGTCACATTACCTTGCTTTTCTTCCTCACCTAATTAAACACAAAAGCAGCTTTCCATTTTGACAAAAACAACAAGAGTAACTAGACCAATATTGAAAGAAAATAATAACAATATCTACCTGTGTTTTGAGTGAAAAGCCTGTGAACTTGGTCAGCAACCCGTTGCGCAAGATTAGTCCGACCACGTTCTCTAACTCTTTCAAGTAGACCTTGGAAATGACTCTCGTGAAAAAACATAGTTCCCATTAATTTATCTAGATATCTAGAAAAATAAAAAACGAAAATAGAAAAATAAATAAGACATCATTAGTGCAATAAAGAACCAGATAAATATTAAATTTATAACTAATTATTTAAACTATGCATGCAAATTGAACTAATATAAGGAGGCTTATTACAAAGCAACACACTGTGATGATCCTACTGGAGATTGATAATTTTGAGTAGAATAGTGAATTTATTTTTAAAAATGATTGGATGGTTAAAATGTCAACATACCTACAATCTTTATAAACTTCAAGGAGTTTTCGCATAACATCAGTTGTTTGAAGGGATGGATTCTGAGTGAAAATTTCTTCTAAGCGTGACATTGCTATTCGTGCCTTTTCTATATTTGCTACAAGTTTAGGTTTAAGGTTTTCATCACTAGTTTCTTCCACACTTTAAAAGAAATATCAAATGTTAATGAAAAAAAAAAAACACTTCATATTGAAACTTTGTTTTTCAATGTGATAGGTATAACAATTACATTAAATTACTGTATGGATCAATCACTAACTTTGAACATAAAAAAACTGAATTTAGACCTGCTATTATTTGACAAAGCTTTCGGCAAGTGATTAATGACAATGTTGTGAGATATACTAGTCTGACAGCAGCTAAAGGCCTAATCCTCTGCAGTATGATCTTCCCGCAATAAGCAGATTCAATAGAACATCTAGATAAGATCCTAAAGACCCAAAAAACTTACACCAAACCTGTGGATAGAGCTTACACATGGGACTTCAGAACTTCATTAACAAGACAAAAGAAGCTATCATATAGCTGATTGTGATCCGGATAGTAACCTACTTTGATTAGAATCCGACTATGTCAGAAATTGATGCATATCTATAAAACGGAGGATCAAGTGGGGAAAAAGGAAAATGCTATAATTTTTTAAAAATCATGAATTAAAAATTAAATTTCAACTTGAGCTAAAGAATAAATTAAAACTTTAGGACTCAGAGAGATTGGAAGTGGGGAAGAAGGAGAAACATATAAGAAAGTGTTCAAAAGAAACGAAAAGTCATGAAGTGTAAAAAAGTAATGGAAGAAAGAAGAAAAATGGCAAAAACATTTGCAACAACTTCTCTATCTAGATGTATCCACTAGCAAAGAAGAGAAGAACCACATTGAGGACCCTGATCCACAAGAGGTTAAAAACCAGATAACCTCATGATCTAACCTATTTTATATACCAGTTTAATATAATGGTAGAATAACACTCCTTCCAGTTGCCGACAAGTTAAGGACCAATATCCTGCTAAACTTGAAATTTCCAAATTAAGAAAATATAATAGGCGACCAAGTTAATATAATAGACCACCACCAATTATATCCCAACATTATCCAATACTCTCTGGAATCTGGAACATTTTTTTTTATACAACTGATTGATTATAAAAAATGCACTTAAGATCCAAATAAAATAAACATAATTTATACAAGAGCTAATTTAAGCAGATGATGCGGATACCAATTTTATGAAATAATCATAATAGTCACCATGGCAGTGCAGTAACAGGATTATCTAATTTTTTTTTATATCTGGATACATGTGAATAATATTTTTATAAGTGAAAACAATTCTTATATTAAATTAAATTTATATATAACTATAAATTCATATTATAAAGGAAAATAATTCTCTATTGCAATATAGTTAATGTTAAATTTAAAGATAAAATGATAAAAAAAAAAACAACTAAAATGCTAATATCTAACAGAGAATTATCAACAATAAATAAATACTAATTAATTTAACAGAAATACAAGAACTTACTTATCTTCGGGACAAGTACAACAGTCTTCACTCTCAGTCTGCCAAGACCCATCATCAGATGTTCCATCATCCCATAATTCCCCTTCATCAGAATCATATTCACCAACTTTGTATAGATCTTGAGGCCAGCACATAGATATGTGACCTTCGACCCACCAGACTCGAACCTAAGATAGATATAAACCCATATTAATAAAATAATTTTTATCTCCAAGTATACATGAGTGTATTTTTTAACAATATTTATTTACCAATCCTTCTGGATAATTGTCAAGAACCTGACCAGCAGTACATACTTCATCTTCTCCCTGAAAGTTTGCAACCCTGATAACAACAGTACCAGGTCGATACTGAAAGTCAGGGTGATCTTTTAGATCATAAACACTAACTTCACTTTCCATAAGCAATGCTGGTCTGTAATACAACAATTTGGAGCATTAATACTTTACAAGGATTATACATTGTTTCAGCAAAATAAAAATAATATACTGATGACTGTTTCAATTGGGTAATGTAATCTTATCATAGACTATTAAAAGAAATAAAAATGCATTTTAATAACAAGTGCCTTTAAAACTATAAGCTACTGTTTTCGTTTGAAATCAAATGATTTCACAATTTAATAGTACTGCAATTAATAGTTTTAAAGCTATATAAAAATAAAAATAAAATAAATATCTCTTACAAATATTGAGGGTAGTCTTTATGTGAAAAGAACAAAAAACACAGTTTTAAGCAAGGATTGAATTTAAAAATTAATGTTTTGACCAGATCAAAATAGAATAGTTTTATTTGTTAAACAAAAAATATAATTTGCTCATAATTTTCAAATAAAAGTTAGAACCAACTGATAACATTTTTGCAGTGTTTTTATTGGGTTAATTAACTTAATTTCATTATATTTATTGATTTAAAAGACTTTTGATGGTTTTCTTTAATATTTTATGCATACCTCAATCAGTGTTTGGAAGTTATCAATAACATGAGTATTTAAATACATCATCAATTAGAATAGCAAAAATCAATAATAATTTTAATAAGTAAACAACTAAATGTTCAGAAACATCAAAATTAGTAGTTTTAAAGAACAATTACCTGGGGCTAATTGCAATGTACAATTTTATAACTTCAGTGTTAAGTAATTGCAATTACTTGTTCAAATTACTATAATTTGAATAGAGACATTCAATTCCAATTATTTACTGACACTAAATAATTACATTTACAATTACTTGTTGACAAGTAATTGAAATTACAATTTACGTATAGATTACGCCAATTATTAAAATATATACAGGTTCAATATTTCTTAATATACTTTTCTTTAGCCATTTCCACTAATATGTAAATTAAAACACTTTCTTTATAAAAACTTACTGTGGATTCTCAGAAGAAGTATAAGTTTTGAACCATTTCACAGTGGCAGTTCGTCCAGCATGATCAACACTTTGAATAACTCCATAAACCCTCATACAGGTTTCCTCCCGATTTTCAATTACAAAATCTCCAGGAAAGAATTCTTGATCATCCAAATGATGTATTGGGTATAATTCAGTTGATGGAATACCAACTTCCACAGAACCATCCTGAAGAAAAAAAATATCACAATTTTCACCATGTGTAATTAATTAGGCAGTGTCAAGAAGAGGTATTGTTAAGCTAGTAGTCCATTAGTAGGTAGAAAGGCGAAGCATAGCACCATGCCATGCTGACATTGCATGATGAGCCTTGTCTACTTAGAACATGGCATGGCACCTATCCTTGCATTGCCACATTACAGAGGTATACCACTACCTCTCTGTGAATCTAGCAGAACAAGCAATGTCAAAATTTCAATTAATTTTATTCTTTTTTCCGGTAAATTTATTTTTAATTTTTCAATTTAAAAGTTAAATTAATGAGTTATTGCGAAATGTCACCTCAATAATAACAAAAACCATCATAGAGTGTTCTAGCTCATAACATTTTTTAAACATATGTGTTAAGTGCATGATGATAAATATACAATTTCAAACACGTCAAAATAGCTGTGCCATCAGAGCTATTGTCAGAATATCGGTATAAAAGAACAAAGAATATTCACCAGGGTCCTACCTGAGGGACATACAACCAAAGTGGTCAAGGTACAAGACAGACAGAACAAGCAAAATGGCCTTAATGACTCTGTAGCAAGCATACCTTCACTACTCTACCCAATATAAGCAGAAGAAGACATACTCTTGATGGGAAACTTCAGATTCCAACATCATGTCTTCAACTTCATCATCATGAATCCATCAAGTAAAATTAATTTTCTACTAACATATTAACCTCAATGTAAATAATCTAGTACACCCATTCATCAGCTACATACTATGTATCTTTTATTTTATATTTCACTTTTACTTTAATTAAATCAATATATTTTATGTTAACATTACGTTTGATCCATGTTTTACACACACAATGCAATGAACACCCCCTTTCTGATTAATTTTAGCATCTAGGTCTTATTCCCCTCCTCCCTCCAACTTGGGATAAGAGAAGAACTAATGCGCTATAAAATATGATTTTAAACAAAACTTATTAGTTTGCTTGAAATAAATTTTGTCTAGAGTGGTTGTTCAATACAACGCGCCTAACACTTTCGCAGTTGTCTAAGGGACCCCTACCTTTTATTTATTCATCATTATGTCCGATGTTTATTCATTAGCCAGGTTTACTTATTTATTATCATGCTTAGGATTGTTAGCATTAATTTTATAGTTTTATCATTACCAGATAAATTAAGTATTTTGTTGTCTAAATTTATTATAGTAGTTATTAATAACTCTCTTAAGATTTACCTGTTATAAAACTCCATCATTAAGAGGGAATAACATAATTATAACTTGTTGAAAAATTATTTCAATTATCAATTACTTTTGGTGGTTAAAGCTTTAAAATAAAATGCCTAAATAAATTCATTTTTAAATGATCTAATCTAAGTATAATTATTTAACAATAAGCTTAAAATTACCTGCCATACTACATCTGCTACAGACATTGTGCTCACTGTTTCAACAATAACTTTACTCCCAGGAGCAAGAGAAACTGGTCTTAAGGCCTTCTTTTGATTAGCTCTCCTCAGCTTCTTTTTGTGAAGAACCTAAAATATTTTAATAGAAACTATAGTTTTACCAATAAAATATAACTTTTATTTTAAAATATAGAATATGAAAGAAAAATGATAATGATGAAAATTAAAAAACCTTTGTAAGGGTACGAATAGGAAGAGAAGGTGTCTTCTTAGAAGATGGGTTACTGACAACACTTGTAGCACTGCTACTGGCATTACTGCCTGTTTCAGATTCACAATCTGAACTTTCCTTGGCAAATTCTGAAAAAAAAAAAAAAATCAAGAATGAGTCCCAATTTCAGATGAAACAACTTAGTTATGAATAACAATATTTCCTAGTCCAATTCAACAGTTTTACAGTAGTTTTAAATTTTCATGGTAGGAAATTTATGCAAGTTGACGACACATGTTTCAATATTTTAAATGTATTTTTGTTGGTGAAATTGAGATAGTTAATTAATTAAGCAAGACAATTATTTTAATTATTCCATAAGTGAAATTCCTGTGGACATAATGATATGACCACTAATTTGACAAGAGTTCTGTTAACTATAAATAACACAAAACGTTAATAAATTTTTCTTCTCTGTGGGTGCAGAACTGTTGATACCAATCAAATTTTATAATGTCGTTTTTCTAAATGTTAAGAAACTGATATGTACAATTTAATTTCAGGATAGAAATAACAAAAATAGTTCTTTTATCACCATCCTAAGCTCGACAATCCATTACTGGATGTTGGCTATCTCAAGAGTTGTCCTCCAACTTTCTCTGTCCTGGGCAAACATCTACCACTTCATGATTCCAAGAATTCTGGCAACGGCACTTAGTCCGATAGAGTTTGGCAATTTTATGCTATAAAATATCTTAATGCAATATAATATGTCTCAAATTCAATATCTTCCCACGATTTTGCTTTCATCACTATATCTTTTCAGTTAGGATGACAAGAATCATATTAAAAAACACATTCTCACATAAGATCTAATAATTCTCCATATCATCAGCACTTTCAGTAACCACAAATTTCATAACAAGTCACAAGTGCTTTCCTGTTCCCTGCAGACTAGATTGATCTGCTGTGATAGTCAGCCTTATAGTCAACTAGGATGTAACATCCTTATATAATATAAAGTCTGTAGGAGACAATCAGATTGGCAACATGGACAGTACCTGTTTGACTGAGCCTTTAGCGTTGATAATTTTGTTTAGTCCCTTTGAAAACATTTATGAAACATTCTATTATAAGTAAAGTAATGTATCCTATTATCCTAAATCAAAATTATTTGTGGACGATTCTACATCTACAGTTATTAAGTTTTCTTCAATACTTGAATTTTCACCTGACAACTAACTTTTAAAAATCAGTGTTTAAATTATAATTTAACTATTATTTTTATCCTGTATGAAATTCCCCATAGTATTCCTCATTTGTTATTAAACTCAACAAAACTTAAATGACCAAATGATTTCATACAGGAATACCATCTGTTTATTGCAAAACATCACTAAGTACATTTTTGATATAAGTTAACTTTCAAGCATGTTTGTGTAATTTTTTACTTTATTTATTGATTAAAAAAATCACTAAATGCATAAAAATGACTCACACCCTTTTATATATCAAATACAGTTACAAGCCCACAATTTTCTGATTTCATAAAGTTCTTTAATATATTAGTTTACGAAATGTAAATGAATTTTTGTAATAAACCAACAATATGTTAAGATCTATCTCTAAATAGAAATCATTTAAAAACTTACGATTATTTTCGATGTTAGTTATTTCAACATTATTTAGTTCTTTAAGGTTTTCAACTTCATCAAAACCATTTTCATTGTCTAATATTTTTTCTTCATCTTTCTTCTTATTGTCATCTTTTTTAGTATTAGAATTAGTAGAATTAACATTAACTGAAAAATAAATAAAACTAACAAAATAAATATATAATTGGGCTGAAGAAATAATCAAATGAACATTACTCACCAAAAAAAAGTCTTAACTTTCATAAAAATATTAACTAGACCATTCTCCCATTTCATATGAATTTTGAGAATACAAACCCGCAGAAGAAAAGTTAAGTTCTTCACAATTCACTTGAATATAGGATTCTGATATTGGCAACAAATTCCTTCATAGAGATCAGTCTTGACATCGATGCAGGATCATGATTGAAATGATATTATGAAAGTGAGAGAAGTAGAATTCTTGTCAGATAAATAAATAAGAAAAACTCAAAGAGAAACACTCAAAATTATACCCATGATCATTTTTATTAATTATCGATTGCAAATGAATTACTGACGAGATCAACCAGTCAAGTAAAAAAATATTAAATAATAATAAATTTGTGATGTACATCACAGACAAATTCATAGTTTATATAGAAGATTGTAATAAAATACAAAATGTAACCTTATAAGATTTGTTAATTATTGTAAGAGTAAATTTAAAACATTAAATGACAAACAATGCTGCCAATTTACATCAAATGTTTTCAAATTATTCCTGATTTCCTGTAGTAATACCACAAGTGGCCGAATATCATACAGTCCAGGACTTATTAAGGTCTAGGTCAGCCACTGCTCATGTGAATTCTATTTATTCCTATCAATTTTGGTGACCAGAGGAAAATAGAAATTAGAGGTTTGATTTAGATTAACCATTTCACTAATATCTCGCAGCAAAACAAATAATGAATATATATATATATATATATATATATATGTGTGTGTGTTTGTGTGTGTGTGTGTTGAAAAAATTAATGTATGTTTTCCGGATTCCTTCCGCATCTTTACTTACATTACATTCTACTTAATACAATCGTAGTTAATAGATGATGAAAACCTTATAACCTTCCCCACACATTTCCGGAATTAACACAAGCTTTTACAGACCCCAGGTCGTCTTAACTTAATTTAACAAATCGAGTATACTAGCAGCTGTATAATCTTAAATAAGTTTCTCGACTTGAACACATTTAAGGGGTTTACAATACTTAGCATTGATTGCATGAATACCCATATTATATGATTTGTTAAATTTTGGGCAATGCTCAAAGCCAATGGAGACAACTAGATATAAAGTGATGGGCATTACTTCAATAACTTTTTATAATTGATTTATTTGTTATTTACAGATAATCTATCTATTATTCGCTACTTAAGATAATTATCTTATTTATGTAAAAAAATTAAAATCTTTTTAAGAAACTACAGAATAAAAAAATTTCATTAATCATTTCCCTATTAAAAAAAAATGTCACCTTTTCGTTCGCCATTGACCTTATATCTCATAAATGAAAGAATAAAATTTCATGGTTCAAACAAACTATTACTAAATATTTAGAGGTAGATTAATAGGAAAACAAGTGTCAATATTTTCTGACTTTATATTTACAATTATAAATTTTCACACTTTTGTACCTTTTAGAAATAGTCTTTCTTCTAAATAGCCATAAAATTGTTTGACAGACTCACTGAAGGAAGTTTACAAATCAATTATTTGAATTTTTATTTTAATAACTCAAAAAAAGGAGTAAGGAATTTATTGAATATTGGTTAATTAAAAAAACAAATAAATTATTCGTTATTTTGTCTCACAGAAATGCATAAGCCTGTACCAATCCATGAAGAGTTTTTCTTAGTTCTTGACAGACAGATGTAAAAGATTATCTGGACAGCATAAAGCCTAACTGTATAAGGTACTTCATTGCTAACATAATATAAATTATTTTCCATAATCAGAACTAAATCCAGACCAAAGAGTCAGGAGTTCAGTGCTTTCCTGAACGAGTTACAACCTTTCCTCATGATGAGGAAGATAAACTAAAATAAGTGAATAGACAAAGCAAAAGCAAGGCAGTGAGGACAACTAACCTGTCACTTAGAGAATCCCAGATATTAATTTCTTAAAAATATATTATATGAAACTAAGAAAGCCTACATCTAGTTACCAGTTCTTTTTCTCTTCAGCCTTAAAGGTGTTGAGTTTTCTTTCAGAATAAGTCGCTTTTGTTCTTTCCTCCACTGCTCTTTCGTTGTTACTTCATCAGTTGCTTTCAAAATATAAACATTACGGTCACCAACTTGCAATGTGCATGGCTCAAAGACATTTAACAATTTTAACCTGAAAAAATGAAAATGAAATTAAAACTATAATCTGTTATAAAATATATTTCAAAAAGAGTTGTAGAAATGACTTTTCTGTTTCACAAACATAAATGAAAATATCGAGCTTATAAGTGATTCTCATAACATATTTAAGTGATTTCTAAAACAATTACTCAAAAAATGATGAGAAATAGCTCAGGATGTTCATGCTCTATTGGTCAATTTCAAAGCAGCATATAATTCTGTGGACAGGAACTGTCTTTGGAAAATTACAGAAATGGGAGTCCCCAGTAAATTAGTGAGATTGACAGAGGCGTGTACAAATGACCCTAAATGTAGAGTCCTAATATAAGGAGAAGTATCTGAAGCCTTCAAAGTTTGAACAGGCTTACGACAGGGAGATAGACTATCTCCCATTTTGTTTAACTTAGCGCTGGAGAAGGTGATAAGAGCATAAAATGAAAATGGAGGGGTCCACGTCAGAATGAATCATAAAATCCTTGCATTCGATTATGTCCCAAGACAAGAACTGTGGAAGGCTCTGATGGACAAAAATATTCCACGAGGATTGATTGATGCTATAAGGCCCACTTACCAAGATTCAAAGGAGATAGTTAGAACAAATGGAATAGAATCTGAAATTTTTGCCACGAGTAAAGGTGTAAAGCAGCTTGAGCCCCTTACTGTTCATTATATATATGGACGAAATTTTAAAGATTACTAAATGACGAACAGCTGTAGGAAAGTGGAACATAAGGACAATATTGACACAAGTAATGGTCTTTACAGATGATATCGTTCTCATATCAGACTCACAGGAAAATCTGTAGTGAGTGGTGATCAAACGGGAGACTGAGCTAGAAAGAAAGCATATGGCAATTAATGTCGGAAAGAGCAAAATAATGCACATCGGACGGGATCAGGAGGTTGTTGAAATTTATTGCAAAGGAGAGAGAGGTACTGGAAATGGTGGAGGACTACACATATCTAGGTGCAGTAATAAACAAGAATGGAAGGGACGACCTTGAAATGTCTAATAAGATTAAAATGGCCAATGATGTATATTACAGTTTATGCAATAGTCATTGGGAAAAGGGAAGCAGAGAGGAATGCAAAAATACATACTTTTAAAAGTGGTATATCTACCAACCCTTATATATGGGAGTGAAAGCACAGTCCCATTACCTAAACATTTCGAAGAGTAGCCGGCTGAACCAGAATTCTTTATTTTACTGAAAAGGGCAGCTGTCATGGTTTGGGTTGGGCATGTATGTCGAATGAACAAAGACCGTGACCCACAAAAATTCATAGAGGTGAGATCAAAATGAAAGCACCCTAGAGGAAGACCTAGATTGCCATGGAATGGAGTACATCTTCCAGATCGGGGAGAAAAGAGGTACGAGGAAAAGAGATATGAGGACTTTAACTCAAGACTGAAATGCTGGGGATTCATGGGTCAAGGCACCTCCATACTGAAAAGCACAAAGGAGGTAGTGAAAGAAGAAGAACAAATATATAATCCCAGAAATTCATGAACTTTCAATCAACGGTCACAGTCTGGAGCAACACTGATGATACTAGAAATTTTATGGAAACCCCCTGCATATACAGGTTCAGATCCTCTAGGTACCATAATTATGTAGGGATTCTGATATTTTTAATAAGATCATCATTTAAATTAAAGATGGTTTTCTTGTGCACTGGAATGTTACATTAGAACATGCCTCATCAATGTCCTTTAAATGCTGAGTAGATTTTAGGAGATAGTTTTGATTTTTACTTGTTTGCATTGACTAAAATAGCTTTTGTTGGTAGCTAAGACCCTACTCTAAAAATGAACATCATAATATTATCGTAATTCAGGTAAAAGATGAGGTAAATAAATTATCCACACTTCTCAAATGTTCTATCTCTATCTAAAGAGGAACGTTGATTGCTTATTGAGTCCTGTACGCATTTATCACTTTAAAAGCTTGCTGATCACTAGTCCTAAACAATCAAGAAATACTCCCCTCTCCTATCTGGCCATAACAACAGGTTTTATCTACATTTTATCTACTGCAAAAGCCAAGATCATTGAAATTTTTTTACCTGTACCACATAGTGAAAGTAATTCCACAGGGTCAGATTAAAGAATAACATGCAAGATAATAAAATTATTCTCAATATTTATAACAAAAACTATACCTCTTTATATCTTCCCCTTGAATTAAGACTTTAGGTTGCTCTTTTTCTGTTCCAGCTCCGTCTTTGGAATAAGCTCGACATTGCCAATGTACAGCCACTGATTCAATTTCTACATCTTCAACGGTTACCTAAAATTACAATCATTGCTTGCATTAAAAAATATACTTGGCCTAAGGTTGTTAAGAATATAAAAAGGCTAATTAATTATGAATTAATATAACAAGTTCAGTTAATATATTGAATTTGATAGGATTATAAAATTCCAGTTCACTAAAAAAAAAATAAATATTTCTTTAAAGCATTTTAAAATACTGGTTGATGAATTAATTAACTAATAATGACAATGTGAAACAACTTTCAAGCTAACAATAAATTTTTTATTGTCCATGTTCAACTAAACTGTAACAAGAACAATGAACAAGAAAATTACATAAAACGAGTCTTAACAAATGTTAATAGATATTGGCATAAATCTCCAATTACTGAACCAATCTGATTACCGAATCTAAACCGATATCCTGAAAGTTCCTTTATTTTACTGAAAAGAACATTAATTAGAAGTTATATAGCAAAATTTTCTTTTATAGAAAAATTGAATTGATTAATGAATAAAGGAATTAGGATCCTTATCACTGCGTCAAGAGGGGAAAAAAGAGCGAGAAAATGTAAACAGAAATAAAGTAATTCTGGCTAGTTCTTATAGAAGAAGAAAAAAAGGTACTTGTGAGCAACGCGGCCTCTATGGACTGCTATCTGCAGTTATCTTGTTATTTAAAGTGTTGTTGTTATTATTTATATTTCTTATTATTAAATTACTATATTGTTATTATATTTATATTTCTTACTAATATATATATATATATATATATATATATATATATATATATATATATATGTTATATATGTAAATAAGAAACAGGCAAAAAAGAGGCAACACCAAATATATTTATATTTCTAATTATACGAGAGTCTAATTTCATATGAAGATAGGGATTATCAGTGCCTTATAACAATTATCAGTGTTCAAGTTATAAACATTTAATAATAAGAAATATAAATAACAACAACAACACTTTAAATAACAAGATAACTGCAGATAGCAGTCCATAGAGGCCGCATCGCTCACAAGTACTGAAAAAAATCATGAATACTTTTTAAATTAGTCATATATAATATGAGCATTTTGAGATCATGATGGTCAGTTTTACCTTTGTCCAGTGCAATCACTGATATACTTAATTATAAAGAAAGCCTCATAAAATGAGCACAACAGACAAGCCAAGCCTATATTCCCATCTATCAGAACCAGCATCATTCTCACAATCAGACTAAAATGAAAATAAAAATTTTGAAAGGTATAGAAACGACAATGAAAAACTAACAAAAAAGATAGGAAGGACTGATTGAAAAAGTTAGCCTATAGACTAACTGAGGAATGATTTTGTTGCCAATTTCAAAATTCTCAAAAGATTACACCCAAACCCTTTCACACACAAAAAAAAACCTGTACTACTAGAACCCACGAAGGGTCTTGGGTTCGGCACTTTGTAAAGAAGTAATGTTTCTGGCAACGATTGTGCAGAGAGGTGATTTGACCAAGATCATGCTCAACTGCCAGGTTTTCTACCTTAATTAATTATTTAATTCAGGATACCCCTTTATAGATGCTGAATGTGACTCAAGAGGGTCTCCCAACCACTGGACTATTCATCAGCCGGTTTCGAACATGTGAACTTGAGAATCAAAAGTTAGCGATCTACCACTGAGCTGCCACACTCCTTACTATTCCACACAAAACAGAAATCAAAGGCTCACGTTGCACAAATGCTGACGATATTGCTATCCTAATAGGAGGAAAGCATCAGAGTGTCCTCTCTGATATCCTCAGTACAGTGTCTAATATTCTTAGGAATTGGTGCAGGATTAATGGACTAAGCATCAACCCTAGGAAAATCAATGTGTGCATCTTCACTAAGAAGAAGGTATTTATCAAAATGCCGGAAACCAATGGTATCCAACTGACACTGAGCAAGGAAGTTAAACACCTTGGAGTCATTTTGGACCAAAAACTGTCATGGATTAAACACGTTCACAACGTGACAAGTAAAGCCCTCAAATGCCTAGGGGCCTGTAAAAGAACGATAGGAAAGAGTTGGGGACTCAAACCAAAAATGGTATACTGGCTGTACATAACGACAGTCAGACCTATCATACTTTACTCAGCTCTGCTATAGTGGCACAAAGCAAAGACTGTAGCCAACTCATCCTCATTAGGAAAGATTAAAAGGCTTGCACGTATGATAATGGATGCGATGAGCACGACACCAACGGCCGCCATGGAGGTAATGTTGAACATGCCTCCACTGCAGCTGGAGGTGGAGGTGGAGGCTAGGGCAACAAACACATTATACAGGTTAAGCAAGTCTTCATACTGCTCACCAGTCCCCTGCCAAGGAGGACACACAGTACTGCTGAACAGGATTGGACGTGAAGCTAGCTATGCACTCTGACACTCTAATCCGAGAATATCAGGACCGAAAATATAAGGTTGGGATAGACAGCAGCAGACAACACAAGCCAAATAATGGTATTAATTGTTATACAGATGGCTCTCTAACAGCCTTTGGCTCTGGAGCAGGCATCTATCGCAAAGGCATTAAAGAAAAAATTTCTATACCACTTGGCAGATATGCTTCAGTATTTCAACCTGAGATACTGGCAATCTGCCATAGCGCACAAAACCTACTGCAAAGAAATGTGACTGGGAAAAAGATTACCATCTATACCGACAGTCAGGCAGTAATAGGTACAACTACTACATATATTCAAAGGTCGTTAAGGAATGCAACACAGCACTTATTAACTGAGCACAATAGAGTTGCAGTGGAGTGGGTGCCTGGTCACTCGGGCATACCAGGCAACGAGGTGGCTAACGAACTAGTCAGATTGGGCTCAGATACAATTCCTGTAACTCCCGAGCCTGTCTGTGGAATCAGCCTCAGCACTACCAAGGGTAGGATCAGGGAGATGTATGGGAACAAATTTAGTAATTACTGGACCGACAAGAAACAGCGACATTCGAAGCTGTTCCTTAAAGGTCCATGTGAAAAAAGAAGCAAACTGCTACTGAACATGGACAGAGCAGCCCTTAAAAAACTTACAGCAATCTATACAGGTCACTGTAAGCTAAATTACCATATGTTCAATCTCCGAGTCATGGCGAATCCGCTATGCAGATTCTGTTAGGAGGAGAATGAAATGGCCTTTCACATCGTGTGTACATGAGATAGATTCACAAGGCTGAGACTGGTAGTATTTGGGGAAGAACGAATGGATCTCCACAGTAGCTATGAGTCGGTTAATCCAACCAGCCTACTTAGATACGCGACAAGAATAACATTTTAATTAAAAACGACTAACTGAAATTGGCGCACAATAGACCCATTAGAGGTCGACGTGCTCAGGGCCAACACTGATAAAAAAAATGTTGCACAAAGGAAATATCTATGGTCTCTGTTTAAGGTTCTGACAACAATACTAAAGAAAATCACAACTTTATTGAGGTGCCAGGAGCGAAATAGAAAACTACCACTTTACTGGCATAAGAAAAAAAAATTGTACCCAGCAGGTTAAAAGAACAACTGTCATATAAGCAAATTATAGAACATGCTTAGAAAAAGTAGATTCCTCGCCCAGTTCACGACTCTGTCTTACCAGATAATAAAAGTAGAAGCAAATCATAAATAAATACATCTTCCAAATTTATTGAAGTTTATAGAATCATATCTCGTCAATTACCTGAATACAATCACCACTGGTAAACCAATAAAAAAACCTACATTTATAAAAAAAAATAAAGCGTCTATAATTTTGGTTTATTTTCAATAATCAACCACTGTGATCGACCAAAAAATTCAAAAACTTAACCCCCTCTCAAAATTTGAGGTTTCACGTATCAGGATGCATAGAATTCAAAAAACAAATAAAAACTTTTTTGTCCGTCCGCCGTCCGCGCATTTTCTCCGAAACTAATGGACTAATTTTTTTTTTCAAATTAGGATATAAAATCAGTGGTCACTCAAGGATGATCCTCTTTCATCGACATTATTATCCACCTTTTACTTTCAAAATGGCAGCCAAAAACCCTCGTTGCTATAGACCGTAGCTCCTCTAAATAAATGTACTGATTCAAAAATTTTCAATATCGCAATACTTACCCTTACTATATATTACATATATAAATAAGTAAGTGAAAGTAATATATTGATAACTTCAAATATAAATAATTAATTGAACATAATTAGGCCAAGATAGGCATAGATGGTCAGTATAGTTAGCCGAAGATCTGTAAAGGCAAAAGAAAAATAAACTTTAAATATAATATTGAAAATCACCTTTATAACCCGCTTCATCTTGGACTTCAAGGCTTTCAGGTCTTTGCTAGGTAGTGTCCATTCAGCTATTTCCTCAAGGACACTTAATGGGCCCCACAAAACTTGACCAGGATAGTATTCACCTCTGAATTCTGAATCCTAAATTATCAAAATCATTAAACATCAATCAATAAAGAAGTGAAATAAGATTAATTAAAACTCTGGGAGCTAATTATGTTTTAATGTCTTAGCCAACAATATACAAACAGCCCCCTTAAACTTTAATCAGCAATCGCACTCAATGTTATGGTTCAGGTAACATCTCTTTATTTTCCATATGTCTAACAACCTAGCAAACTAAGGCTTCCAACGGGTTCTTTGAAAAGTGCTTCTTAAGCAGGACAAATATGCCCCATTGTCAAGAGTAAATCAGATCAGAAAAAAACAACACAATTTTTAACACTCCCTTTCTCCTTCAGGCAACCAGAATCATTTTATTCTAGTATTTAGGATGGTCATTTACCAACACAAAATAAGTTTTTACTTTTCATTTCTTTGAATCTTGGCCATAAAACCATACAAAATACAAAAGCTTGCTTGCCAGATTGACCTTTTTGATGGATAAAAATTATGGCTGTCAGATACAATGTTTAATGTAAGTTGGTTTTGGTTTAACTTTTCATTATTTTCCTTTACTTAATCATAGCAACAATAAATACCCAATATGAAAAAGTACAAATACAAACAATTTGACTGTAATCAACTAGAAACAAAAACCATTTCTTTCAATATACAGTATATTATATAACCTAAACATTATTTAATAGCCCCAAAAAGTACAGAAAGATGTGATTAGTCAGTAAAAACATAAAAATTGAGCTTATTTTGATATTTAGCATGTAATTTAATGACATGCAGTAGCACATAATTAATAATAGGAAAGTTTAAAGATAAGCTGTTTTATATACTTCCAGTCATACTTGGTTAGATCAGTACTCAGGGAGCTACTTGTCAACTACATAAACTTGTCAATTATATTAATAGTATGATCAATGGAATCTTGACTCAGTGAAATAAATCTTGTGGTTTTACTGAGGAATTAATATTGTCTACATTCACAAGAGTGAATATTTTATTCCCGATAAGGTTTGAAGTTTCCTAGACGGAAACTAATATTGCATTTAACCTATCATAATAGGCAAGATAAAACAATCTCATGATGTATGGAATCAGGCATCAATGGACAAAAGGTTTCACAATGACAATTCATAGCAGCCATGTTTCAAAAATAAAGATGTTTGATTAATAAATTTTTGGCATGGAAAGCGCTTGTATTCAGTAACAATAAAAACTAGACTAATACTTAATGTAACAAATAAAAACCTTAAGCAAATACAACTCAAATTCATGACTTAATACTATACATAATAAAACACTGAGCGAATTACTTACTGGATCGATTTTTTCATAAAAGGTATCAAAATCTGTGGATTCTGGATCAGTCACAACACAGCGAGAATTGTCTGGTAAACTTAAATGAAGTTTAGAGTGCACTAATTTAATACCACCTACCCATGAATCTAGACACACAGCAATATCAGGTGCAAGAGCCTGTAGCAAATAAAATTTTAATAAAATTAAGTTAAACCAATAAACAGCACAACCACAAGTTGCATATTATACCTCTATGGGGATAAGGTCTTTACTTTTCACATTGTTTATTATATGTTTTGTTCCAACAATTTGAATTGAGGCAGAAACTTCCATGTGCCTACAATAACCCCTTTGAGTATCCTTTCCTTTAATCATTCTTCGAACAACATCACCAGGCATCAAAGATCTATCAGCTAAGCCAACCTATTAAGTAGTGTTACCATTAAAAATCATATATGTTTTTGAATTCTGATGAAACTATTGTAATGTAAAACTTAAAATATGAAGTAACACAGCTGAAACCAAAGTTACTTTAACATTAACTGATAATTGTATTTCTGTGATACCTTGCATAATGTCACAAATTGACAGGTCAAAGGAAAACTGATTTAACATTGAACTGTTACATAGCTACAAAGCATACTATTAGGAATGTAATTCAAAATGTTCTAAATAGTTCAAACGCAAATATGAATTACTTTTCGTTCTGAAACAACTTCTTCTGCTCCAGTGGGGTGCCATGCAACTCTTATATGACCCTTTTTCATTTTTCCATTCTCATCATTATCTGAATTCTCATCACTGCTAACTAATTCTGAATTCTGTAGAACCATTCCAAATTCTATATGCCCCTTTTTGTTAACTCTATAGACTTCATCTTCGTAAAAGTATTGGTGTTCAGCAGCCATGTTGATAATCAAACGGAAAATGTTGAATACTAGGTATCAATCCTTAAGGTTTTAGCAGTGTAGTCCCAGGTGTTCTTTTTTTAACTGCATTTTTGCCTGAAGTAAATAACAAATTTAGAGGGTTTAAAAAAATTAAAGTTACAGAGTTGATTATTAAAAATTGACACATTTTCAGATGATTAAAAAGTAAGGAAAAATTTTAAAGGATTGTTGTTAACTTTTTGAGATTAAATTAAGAATGAACGTAAGATTAAAGGAATTACCAATTTAGCTTGCAACTTCAATTTTGTTCTTACCAATTTATTAAAATGATATTTTGTATATGACATACTTCATTTACATATGTGTTGAATGAAAATGGATAAAGAATCTTCTTTTATTGTATGTTCATTAGTAGATCAAATTACTTTAATGGACGATAACATTTTATTACTTCGGCTTATTAATAGTAGATTGTAAAATATTTAAAATTGTTCACATTTTTATAATATTTGCAGAAAAAATAAGAGCACACTGTTATGAAATAATGGCAGTAATGCTGATTCAATAATTTACAAAATATTCTGCTAATAATATCAAGAGCTATCAACGTAGATTCACCCAGAATCAAAGAAATAAGGACCCTATAATAGTTCTCTGATAAAGATTATAAAAAAAGTAAAATACTAAAGGATGGTTCATAAATTTTATTTAGACTCTAACTATGCCGATCTATTGATATTCAATCAATATAAGATTATACTTTAGTATAATTGGTGAAATAAACACAAATTGTTCTAGATAAGATTTCTTTATTCAGGGGTGCCGCAGCCATGAGGCGGCAAAAATAAGAGATAAAAATATCAAGATTATATAATATTCCTAAAGCAGAGTCATACCTACCCACATTCCATTTTCTGAGTAATTTATTTTCATCTTTGTTTAGACCTTCATACATGGCAAGTTTTCAAACAGACTTATTATTTCTAAGCTCAATTCTACTTGCTCTTGTTGGAAAAAATAGAAGCACAGAGATTTGTGGAAGTGAAAACGTATATCTAGGTACAATAAATAAATATAACTCGCAAAAATGAGAAAATAGGATACTGGCCTAGTTGGAAGAATGTGAGGGATTCCTGGTAAAACATCACATCGGTTGCCTACAACCCACGCGACGGTCCGTAATGGAGACTTTATTCATGCTATATTTTATGCAGCAGGTTTAGGACAGGTTTTATACTGAGATTAACGGCTACCATAGGTCCTGGACTGCAAAACTTTGTGATTGAGATCTGTAATATTTGTTGAATCTCTGCAGGTTCACTGCATTATTTCAGAGCCTACAGCTGAGGTGCACTGAAGGGGTTTGCACGGCGCCAGTTGCGCCATCAAACATTTTGAGAAGACCACATCTTTAAGAGGTTTTGTATTTTTGAAGAGGACGCAATTTGACGGGGTAACCATGTTTTTATCGAGGGACAAGGGACATGGAGCCAATCACATCACGTGTGTTTGAATATCTACTTCTTCAATTTTACTTTCGCTTGTATTGATTTTATGAAAAGAAGACCAATGAAATTTCTTGGGAGGGAGCTTGCGCCATCAACCTTGGATTGGATGGGCACCTCTGGCCTGTAGGTCTAAACATATTAAACCGAAGGTATATCATGGCAAAAAAAAAGGTTGAGGCAGAATAAACAAATTAGAGTAGATGGAAATAAACAGGGTGAAGAGTGTCGCATACAAACCTAAATTTAACTCCAAGCGTTATAGTTGTATCTATTAAATAAGTTAAATTAAACTAGAGGGTGGACACTGCAATGAGGGACTTCTGAAAATCCTGTTCTAACTCATAAAGTATACTTCTCTCGTTTGACACAATATTCTATAGCAAGCTGTTAGATTAGGCTATAACGGTAATTTGAGATTATTTAACTGTGATTAATCTTGTTTCATTAATTCTGTAACGAAATAAGTTTTCTCTTCTTAGTATATTTTTCGCATGTGTTAATCAGTGCTTCCTTGGGTGCGACATTGTAGTTGACAGGACCCGTTTATATACGAAATTTATAATATTATATATTATTTATGTAATAAATCAATGCTAAATCTGTTTTCAAACATTAGGCTCTTAATATTGGTCTAGAAATACTTAATTATTCACGTCGTATATTTTTGAAGCTGTCAGGTTTCACGTTACGTTGTCATAAACCTCAACTGGGTTCGTAGGGGACACTTTCAAAGTGGTCTTTCTCTTTGATTTGTTTTTCGATATTAATGTAACATTTTTGTAAAATTTATTCACTTTTTTTTGACGAATACTGATATAGATTATGTTGAACAACTACAGAAAGATACTTATAATCTGAAAAAATCAGTTGTTTGTTGATATCTTACATTCTTCTCTTTCTTCTGATTTGGTTTATGAGGAGGTTATCCCGCAATGTATAAATTTATTCTTGACAGGGTGGAAGGTTAACATTTATTCAGTTGGGCCGCTACGTAATAAATAACCCAAACCGGTTTCAAAGGGTGCTTCGCGACTGGAAGCTTCTTAGTAGGGATGGGTAGTTCGTGAACGAACTAGTTCACGAAAAGGAACTATGGAGACTGGTCTTACTTTTGGTGAACTACAGTTACCGTGAATTATAGTTCCCGTAAACTACCACAAAAATAAAATTAGTGGAATTGTTGGTGTTTTCTTTAAGAAATGTAATGATAATTTCAAGACCCATAGTCTTTACACTGAAATAGGGATTTTAAAAAGGATTTGATTTTCTTGAAAATAATTTTTGATTATCGTATTTTAATGTATTTAAATTAGAGTAGATGATCTCACTGATCTAGTTCCGTCCGTGTCAAAATAGATGGCGCCAGTTGCAGTCCATTTGAACTAGCTAGTTCACAGTTCACTTAAAAATTCCAAGGCCTAAAGGAACTCATTTAGTTCTTTAGTTCGATGAACTAGCTAGTTCAGAAGATTGAAACCTCTCTTTCTTTCTACTTCAATAGGTCTATTCCATGTTTTTCTCTTGTAGCTTAGTACGAAAATTCATAACCCCGTTGGAAGATGACCCCTCAAAAATTTTGATGGCGCAACTTGCGCCATGAAACCCCCTTCTGGACATAGCTGCATATGATATTCTAGACAGTGTCGATACTCAGACTGTGACTACAGCAGACGATACAACAATCCTCACAAAACATCAAAATTCAAACTACGCCTCACAGACTCTACATCACCTAAACAAATTCCACGACTGGTGCAAACTCTGAAAAATAAGACTCAACCATAAAAAAAAAAAAAGGAATATATAGAACAAACCTCAGCAAGAGTAATTGTATATGGCCTACAGTCATTTTATTTCTAAGGTTTTTTATAAGAGGAGACCAATATAACAGGTTGGGAAGAGGAAAGGGGAAGATCATACGCCATCGACCTTGAGGAGGGAGATGGGCAATGCCCCCATTGGCCATTTCTGCTTAATTATACATTTTTTTGTCTTTAATACTGTTGAATTATATTTCGTTGATATGTCATTTGATTTAATGATATCAATTATATTATCTAAAATAAAGAAAATGCTAAAACAAATTCTTTGGCCCAATCAATTTGGTGTTATTACTTATTATAATAGACTGTTTTGTAATTGGAAATTGAGTAAATATTACTATTTAAATAGGTATAATAATAAAATAATGTCTAATATATCTCTTTAGTAAAATGTGACAAATATTTGAAATAATTATTAAAATTTAATTTAAATGTTTTAATAAAAATAACTAAATTATTAGTCTGAAATAACTATAATAAATATTTTATAAGCTCAGAAAAGAACTGCTGTATTTTATTTGAATGAAAAATATTGGCATGTACATATTTCTGAAAAACGTTTCATTATTTTGATGGAAGTGCCTTAATTTTAATTTTAGTGGCTCTGTAAGTTAATTTTTTTTTTTTTTTTACAGCATAAATAAATAAAGATAACAGTTCATAATAATACTCATAATTTTGAAAAGTATTCAATTATATACATATATATAATTTTTTTTTTATGTTGCCGTCTTGAAAAAAGTAATCCCTTTTTGAAATTCCCTACGCCAAAGGATGGTTTTCCAATTTTTCTCTCATCAAAAAATCAGAAATATAATACTTTTTTAATGGTAAAATAATGTTAAATGTAGTTTATTCTTTAGGACTGATATTGTTTTAACGTTTGTATAGAAAAATTAATCAAAATGTAACTTTATTAGGTTTCTAGCCAATTTCAGTTGCAGGCTACAATATTCTTTTGTAGAGCCCACTGCTCATTTCCAGTGCTATCCAATTACAGTTTATGAGTTCATATTAATGATATTAGTTGTTTAATTTTACTAAATATAGTTAGGAATACAATCTTAGTGGTTAGAATGCCTTGCTTTTACTGTTGATAAATTAATATTTGATTTTACATAATTTATACATACATATATAAATGATTGAATTTTCATGAAACGTTGTAATGATCCTAAATTAATGGAAATATTCTAAGGCCATTTCATCGTGTCTATGTATGTGTGAATATATATATTTATATATACAGTTTTTTTCAAGAAAATGAATTGCCTTTAAAATTTTCCATTTATTTAGGTAATTGCAAACCCAACCTCTATAATGTGAGTGCTCTTAAATAATGATTAATTAAGGAGAAATATCTGATTGTTGAGTATGATATCTGTTGATCACCCCCTTGCACCGCTGACCAAGAAACTACACTAACAAATTAATGAACTCAAGACTTTCCATGAGTTGTAATAGTATACGTTTTCTTATTTATATGTAAATTAATTGTATAAACAAAACTATAACCAGTGAATTGTTTAAAAAATATTATGTCTTTCATAATTTATTTTCTGTTTTGTTAAACATTTTCTTATATTTGTCAAATCTTTTTGTTACTGGAAAATCATAAAATTTCACAAAATTTGTTGTCTTGAGGATACATTACCCAATGTTTAGTAAATTAGGAAATTTAATAAGATTTTTTATGTAAATTATTGAAGTTTTGTTTATATATAAAATACTTTGGTTTCATAGAATTGTAGGCCAATACAACAATTTTTTTTTTCTTTCTTTTTTACTAGAAAAATTTCTTATTTCGAGGAAACTTCAAAACCCTTTATAAACAAAAGTTTATGGCATTTTTTGTCTTCTTGTTTTACATCTGACTACCTTTCAGGCCACTTTGCCCATTTTGAAATCTTAGAAACATATGTTAGGATCATCTAAAAATCATTTAAAATTCATTCAAATGTTTAAATAGAATCATCTATAGGTGTTGGCTTCCTTTTAAATGTGTCTATATAAGTTAAATTG